TCGTGAAGCTGTACTAACTCTAGCACCCTATTCTTAACTTTGTTGATCTAGACATCGTGAAGGTGTACTAACTCTAGCACCCTATTCTTAACTTTGTTGATCTAGACATCGTGAAGGTGTACTAACTCTAGCACCCTATTCTTAACTTTGTTCACCAAGACATCGTGAAGTTGTACTAACTCTAGCACCCTCTTCTTAACTTTGTTCATATAGTCATCGTGAAGCTGTACTAACTCTAGCACCCTATTCTTAACTTTCATCATCTAGAAATCGTGAAGCTGTACTAACCCTAGAACCCTATTCTTGACTTTGTTCATCTAGACATCGTGAAGCTGTACTAACTCTATTACCCTATTCTTAACTTTGTTCATTTAGTCATCGTGAAGCTGTACTAACTCTAGCACCCTATTCTTAACTTTGTTGATCTAGACATCGTGAAGGTGTACTAACTCTAGCACCCTATTCTTAACTTTGTTCACCTAGTCATCGTGAAGCTGTACTAACTCTAGCACCTTATTCTTCACTTTGTTCACCTAGACATCGTGAAGGTGTACTAACTCTAGCACCCTATTCTTAACTTTGTTCATCTAGTCATCGTGAAGCTGTACTAACTCTAGCACCTTATTCTTCACTTTGTTCACCTAGACATCGTGAAGGTGTACTAACTCTAGCACCCTATTCTTAACTTTGTTCACCTAGTCATCGTGAAGCTGTACTAACTCTTGCACCCTATTATTAACTTTGATCAACTAGACATTGTGAAGCTGTACTAACTCTAGCACCCTATTCTTGACTTTGTTGATCTAGACATCGTGAAGCTGTACTAATCTAGCACCCTATTCTTAACTTTGTTCATATAGTCATCGTGAAGGTGTACTAACTCTAGCACTCTATTCTTAACTTTGATCATCTAGACATCGTGAAGCTGTACTAACTCTATTACCCTATTCTTAACTTTGTTCATTTAGTCATCGTGAAGCTGTACTAACTCTAGCACCCTATTCTTAACTTTGTTGATCTAGACATCGTGAAGGTGTACTAACTCTAGCACCCTATTCTTAACTTCGTTCACCTAGACATCGTGAAGTTGTACTAACTCTAGCACCCTATTCTTAACTTTGTTCATATAGTCATCGTGAAGCTGTACTAACTCTAGCACCCTATTCTTAACTTTGTTCATCTAGACAGCGTGAAGCTATACTAACTCTAGCACCCTATTCTTAACTTTGTTCACCTAGACATCGTGAAGCTGTACTAACTCTAGCACCCTATTCTTAACTTTGTTCATCTAGACATCGTGAAGCTGTACTAACTCTAGCACCCTATTCTTAACTTTGATCATCTAGACATCGTGAAGCTGTACTAACTCTAGCACCCTATTCTTAACTTTGATCAACTAGACATTGTGAAGCTGTACTAACTCTAGCACCCTATTCTTGACTTTGTTGATCTAGACATCGTGAAGCTGTACTAATCTAGCACCCTATTCTTAACTTTGTTCATATAGTCATCGTGAAGCTGTACTAACTCTAGCACCTTATTCTTCACTTTGTTCATCTAGACATCGTGAAGGTGTACTAACTCTAGCACCCTATTCTTAACTTTGTTCATCTAGTCATCGTGAAGTTGTACTAACTCTAGCACCCTATTCTTAACTTTGTTCATCTAGACAGCGTGAAGCTATACTAACTCTAGCACCCTATTCTTAACTTTGTTCATCTAGACAGCGTGAAGCTATACTAACTCTAGCACCCTATTCTTAACTTTGTTCATCTAGACAGCGTGAAGCTATACTAACTCTAGCACCCTATTCTTAACTTTGTTCATCTAGACATCGTGAAGCTGTACTAACTCTAGCACCCTATTCTTAACTTTGTTCATCTAGACATCGTGAAGCTTTACTAACTCTATTACCCTATTCTTAACTTTGTTCATTTAGTAATCGTGAAGTTGTACTAACTCTAGCACCCTATTCTTCACTTTGTTCATATAGTCATCGTGAAGCTGTACTAACTCTAGCACCTTATTCTTCACTTTGTTCACATAGACATCGTGAAGGTGTACTAACTCTAGCACCCTATTCTTAACTTTGTTCACCTAGACATCGTGAAGCTGTACTAACTCTAGCACCCTATTCTTAACTTTGATCAACTAGACATTGTGAAGCTTATTCTTCACTTTGTTCACCTAGACATCGTGAAGGTGTACTAACTCTAGCACCCTATTCTTAACTTTGTTCACCTAGTCATCGTGAAGCTGTACTAACTCTTGCACCCTATTATTAACTTTGATCATCTAGACATCGTGAAGCTGTACTAACCCTAGAACCCTATTCTTGACTTTGTTCATCTAGACATCGTGAAGCTGTACTAACTCTAGCACCCTATTCTACACTTTGTTCATCTAGTCATCGTAAAGCTATACTAACTCTAGCACCCTATTCTTAACTTTGTTCATATAGTCATCGTGAAGGTGTACTAACTCTAGCACTCTATTCTTAACTTTGTTGATCTAGACATCGTGAAGGTGTACTAACTCTAGCACCCTATTCTTAA